TACCCCTGGTTTAGAGCATAGGTGTATAACCTTTTGGCTTCCCCGTTATATGCCGTCCGCATTTTAATGGGCTGTTAAGCCATTGCGGCGACATAGAACGTAATGGCTTTGAACCCTGATGCCTCTGCAATACTTGCCTATCCTGCGATCTGCTTCAGAGTGACTGGCTGACAGCCCAGGCAGCCCCCCTTTGGGAAATCAGGCCCCCACAAAGTCTGTACATAAGTTGTACTGTTGTGCTTGTGAGACATTGCTGAATACAAATGTGCGTGTTTTATTGCAGTGAAAGCTAACAGTATTATGACATTCACAGTTAAAATGCCATGCAGAATTAAAAACAATTTAAACATTTCTTAATTTCATAACTTTTGTTAAATTTTATTCATATTAAATTTCATATTAAAGTTTAATATATGAATACTTGATGTGAAATAAAAGCCCTATTTCTCCTGAACAAAATGATATTTAATAGGTGTGAGTAAAGTTAATATGAAAGAGGTAAATTATGGTTGAACAAACTTATAGCACAAATTGGCAGTTTTGTATTGACTAGAACTTGTACAACTGGTTCAGTCCTTAAGGGGTTAATTTATATAATTATATTTCATTTGTTTAGTACAGTGCTTCCCAAACCAGTCCTCATGGCCCACCAACAGTCCAGGATTTATGTATTTCCCTATTTTATTTCAATGGAGATACTAACATTACTTGAAAGCAGCCTCTATTAAGTAGACTCTTTCAAGTAGGAGTTAGAAAACCAGGAGTTACTTGGAGTGGTTTGTATACTGTGGAGAGTGGTTTGTATACTGTGGAGAGTGGTTTGTATTTTATTTTTGTTTAATCTTTAAAGTTGGTAAGGTTTAAAAAAAAAAAAAAAATGTTTTTTAAATTTACTTTTTTTTTTTTTGTGTTCTGGTTTTCCCCCCTTTTTTGTGTGCTGCTGCTTGATTGATTGGGGGAGTGTTCATTGTTTGCACCTGTGACGAAGTGCCCTTCGCCACTTGTGCCTGGAGAGGACTGCTTGCCCGCTTCTTGCCCTGTGACTATGGCCCCTGGGATGTATTGCCCTTTAAAGACATGATTTGGGCATAATGGATTTGTGTTGTGCTGCTGCTGGCCCTTTAAGAACCATCTGGGGACATACTGTGGAGTTACTGGGTGGCCACCATTTCCTGTATCAGAAGCACATGGTGAGAACAATGGATGGCGCCATTTTAACTCACAGACACTGTTTGGACTTTTCAACACGGTGCCATCTTGCCAGTATTTGGTGCACAGAGACATCGTGCAGTGGTTTTGGACTATACAGCAGGGGACACATTATACAGTGATTGTTTTTCATTTAGCCTGTATATGTTATGCAGAATCTGCATTAAACTGTATTTTCCAAAGTACTGAACGGATCTAGGTGAATTTTGGATATGTGGTTCAACCAGATCCCCCGGTTCCAAGGATATACTTATTTTATGGGGTTATTGCATGTTTTGGGGTCCCTGTGTGTTTTATGAAACTGTATTATTTCTGGCCAGCAGATAATTGAGCTTTGTGTATTGTAGAAACTCAATTATCTAGCCTGGCCCAGAGGAGGAGTTTTGTGTTGCACAAATTGTGAGTTCTGTGTGCCAGTAAATCAGTCTTGTTCCAGCATTAAGCCTTGGCTCATGTTTGGGGGATTGGAGAAATACACTCTGGGGATTGCTATAATCACTATACTCCCCAGGGTATGATCACTAAGTTCTGCTAAGAGCTTGTTCCTGTTCCTACTCTCTGGGGAAAGAGAGGTTCACCCACTGGAAGCTGGATCCTGGCCTTGGGTCTAGGGTGGGTGGAGACAGCAGAGACCCCGGCGCAGTTGCATCGCTGGAAGTGGGGTCTGCAGTGCTGATGGTGTCGGTTGGAGTGCTTGGAGTCCTCAGCGAGCACTAGGAGCATCGATTGGCGGAGGTACTCAGTCGGAGTGCCAGCGTTCCGTCACAGCACCTGTGTGGGATTTGTATCCCCATAAAGGCACACCCCTAACTCACTGAGTTTGCTCACATTATCTGAAAGCAGCCTCTATAAAGTAGACTCTTTCAAGTAGGAGTTAGAAAACCAGGAGTTCAAACTAACAAGGGCTTTAAACTAACAAGGTAATTGTTTTTTTTTTCTGTTTAAAGGGGAAATGAGTGTTAGCAAGATTGCTGGTCTGACTCAATGCACGTCTTGTTGCATTTATGGATGCCTGGATGTACCCTTCCAGGGTCCATACCTCTGTGATGGTTGTGTGCGAGTGGCTTCTCTGGAAGCTCAGATTGGAGATCTCGAGAAGCAAATCGCAACATTGAGGGAGATTGACAATCTTGAGAGGAGTCTGCTGCTCACTGAGCAGAGTTTAGTGGGGACAGGTAGTGGAGAAGGAGGAGATAAGACAGATGGGGAACAGGCATGTAGCTGGGTGACAGTGGGGCGAGGAAGCAGGGGGGGAGGGAAGAGGAAAGGGCTAGCTAGTCCTGATTTGGTGCAACCTAGCAGATTTGCCCGCTTGAGGGAAGATGTTGGGAGCATCAGCTCAGGAGTAGCTGTATTAGAGGAAGCTGTTACTTCTAACAGCTGAGCTAACAGCCCCCCTAGTACGGGTGGGGATCAAAATGTAAGGAAGGCAAGACAGGTTGTGGTGGTAGGGGACTCTATCATTAGGAGAGCAGATAGGGCAGATAGGGCTCTGATCGGCTCAACCGGACAGTTTGCTGTCTCCCGGGTGCTCGGGTCCGGCATGTTGCTGACAGAGTAGATGGATTATTGGGAGGGGCTGGGCATGACC